TTTCTCCTAGAACCTGCTGCATGCTTGCTTGCTGACTGTGCCTGTAGTTTTCCTGCAGCAGCAGATTGCTTGGCCAGCTGCCTGTCTCCTTGCTTTGGCAGGTATTTGCAGTGAGATGAGGAGCTCAGCTCTGCCCTGTGTGCTGCTGATGACTAATGCCCACTTCAGGTTCAGGCTTCATGTGCATGTGGAGCAGCCAAGCTAAGTAAAGGTCACCGGTGCATTTGTGAAAGGGAAGCACTGTCGTGCTCTGATAGCCTCTGTGTTAGTGAGTGGTTCCATGTATACACAGCAACATAGACTGTAACACAACTGCTGCTAGCTTGATTTGTTTATATGTAGAGTTGTTTTATCATGAGGTATACAGAAATGCCCTGTTCTTAACTGTATTTTATGCAATTATGTTGGTTGTATAGCTCAAGTAAGTGAAGTGCAGGTGCGTGCATGTCACCATGTAAGATTTATTTTTTCTTTCTTGGCAGCTTTAATTGGTTGTGGTCCGTGGTGTTTAATGACAGGTCTGACAACTAAGATGTGCTTAAAATTTTAGCAATAACAAAAAGAAAGCTGTCACTTGGGGAAAATCATCTCAAGTTTGTGGATCATGTCCCGTATAGTCTTCCTTTTATTTCAGGAATCTTTTGCAGGATGAACAAGTACAGCAGAATTGTTGCCTGGCTAGAGAGAAAAGATTCACAGAACTGTAAGTAGAGAAGTGCTTATTTACCTGGGTTAGATTCAAGTCAGCACATCACTATTTTCATGTGGGAGAGTGTTCTGATTTATTGTTGGGAATAAGGGAAAAAAGTAACATCCCATTCTGCAGTTGGCAAAGTTGCAGTGAGGACCCCATTGCAAGCGGGTGGTTTACATCTCATGTAGCTTGAAATAAAGGAATTGCTCACACATTCATGATCAATACAATTACCACTACTTTACATGAATTAAGTAATTTGTATGGTATTGCTGTTTGGGACATTTGTATCCCTATTCAGAGAACTTTTTCAGTATTTCAGCCCCACTAATGGTAAAGGCAGGTGCATGCCAGTTACCCACAAAACCAAGGCAAAGCTCTATGGGGAAACTCTTTTATGTCCATCTAGATTTGAATTTGTAGTCCTTTTCCAATTACTGGGCTAATTGTTTAAGAGATTGTTAGACTAAAAAAGTTTTTAATCACTAATCTGTTTTTGAAAGGAACTTAAGGGCTCAAAACCTGAGCTACATACTTCTTAAATTAATTTTCTTCATGAATACTTCTCTCTCAATACAGATTTGTGAGTCAGAACACCCTACTGTGCTTGTTTCTTTGTCTTTTCTTCAAACACCTGGCCTATTATTCTCCTTTTTTTTTTTTTCTCAACAAAATTGCTCTTTCTTTGTAGACAAAGTTCTGATGATATTATGCCTCTGGAAATACAGAAATTTACCCAAAGACCTGTGTTATCAGAGCTGGACTTGTTAGGCTTGTTTAGCTTGTTCTCTTCCACAATTTAGCCAAATGTGAGTACTCTTATAGAAATATTTGCCAGTGTTTCTTGGAGAGATACCAATATCCTGCAGAATCTTCAAACAAAGCTCCTCAAAAGAATTGTGACATGGAGGATAAAGTCAAGAGGTTTAATTCTGAGGTTGAGTTCTTTCTCCATGTGGGCTAGAAGCTGGAGAAAGTCGGGGGGATGTATCTGAATCTTCGATGCTGCTTGGAAAAGCTTCCTCTACACTTTTGAATTCAGGAAAACCAGACAAACCTGAGAAAATAACCAGATTTGCAGGTCTGCCTCAGTTGGAGCCTGTGCCAAGAATCCTGTGGATGTCACCCAGAGAAGAATAGGGCTGTAACCTTGACTAAAAAAACTTATTCAGATGAGAGGGATAGGGTCAAATTCTGCAGTCTTAATCCAKGTCAATGCAAGCCTTGCCTGAATCAGGACTAAGGGATTTAGTGCATAAAGCAAAATAAAATGTCTAGAAAGAACTGCAAAGTTCAGTGTGGAAAGCTCCCCACTAAAGGGCTGCTCTGTTTGKAATGTGGGATGTTGCTCTCTTCCTTGCATGGAAGGAAATGAGGAAAGTGAATGTTTCTGCATGATTTTTGACCCATGTAGAAGTTTTGACCCATGTAGAGCTRTGAACCTAGGCCAAAGGGTTTTACAGTTTAATGCTTTTTTAAGAAGCATTACAAAAATGCCACCCATCACCTGCTCAGCAAAACAAAAAACTAACCCCAAATCATATATGAAGTAACCCTGATGGTGTGGGTGAAGGTGGGAAATGCTTTCTTTTCACTACCCATATATTTGCGCTTGCAGTTCTCCAGCAAGGGGACGCTGGCTAGCAGAAAACATCTCGGTCCTCAGCCAACAGGAATCTAACCACGGGTAATAAGAACCTCAGCATCTTTATTGTCTTTTTAATAGCTGAGCCCATGATAACTTGTATTTAAGCCTCTTTATTTAGACTTGAATAGAAGAACGTTTTTGACTAAGTAATTCTTTCTCCCTTGGTGTGGTACTTTATTAAATAATAGTAATAATTAATATGAAAAGCTTGCTGAGTTCAAACTTGGCAGTTTTGGTTAGAGACACACTTTGATTTCTAAGGTAATTTCAAGTATTGCCCATGTATTTTTATAATATCATTATCTCTCACAGCTGGCTTTTCAGTTCACATGAAGAAACAGAAATTTCTTGGAAGGACTCATTAAGGCAGAGAAAATGAAAGCAGTCTAAAGAATCTCTCTGCATTTCAAACCAAAACAGGATGACACATCAGCAAGTTGTGTTCTCTACTTGCATCCATTGGATSTGCTTGATCCATGTCAGATACCATCCTCCACCCAAATGGGTGGGTTGCTTTTATTGAATCCATAATATAATTGGGTAATGAAGACATTTTGCAATGCTTTCTTCCACTGCTTTCCAAGGGACACTTGGAAAGAGCAATCTCAAGTCAAACTGGCAGGTATTTAAGTAGGAATCCCGCCCTTGTATGCATGGTGGCAGATCTTGATGTAGGCCTTTAGTTTTACTTCAGTGATAAAACTGCAGTTAACACAACGACATCATTGCTTTCCTTCTAATCCACTTATTTAAAATTGAATTGCTGGCTTGGTTTCATGGGTGCTTATGTTTCTGTTGCTACTTTTGTGGCTGGCGCAGGTCAGGGTATTAATTCCTCTGGACTTGGGGTGTCAATCCTGCCACAGGGGTGTCGAACCCAGCTCTCTGGGTGAGGCCTAGTGCTCAAGTGCTGTTGAGCTGGGCAGGCGCAGCAGCTCTGGCTCTGGTACGAGCTATAGTGCAAGTGAGCAAAGTTACTTGTCYCTGCATGTTAATTACTGTCCGTGAAATGATTCCTGAGTGTCTGTAGCTGAGGGGGAGCCGCCAGTTATTGGATGAGAGCTATCTCTGATGTAACTGCTGAAATGAAGGGAATTTTGGCTTAGGGATTTGATTGTGTGAAATCTCTGCATCCCTGTAGTCAAAAACCATATTTCTGCCGATTGCAAGGGACCTGGTATTTCACCCAATGTATTGAAACTGCCATCAGCAGTTATTTTTTGTGTGTTAGCTTCTGGTATAATTTCCTAGGAATACAGCTTGGCAATACAATTACTGCAAAGATCCTTTCGGAATGGCTTTTAGACAGGGTCAGCATCAAGCCATGTTGYTCCCGCTTCTATAAAATAGCGCCATGGGCTGCTTCGCCGCAGAACCTCCTCACGTGTCTGCCCCTGCCTGACTCGCAGAGCGGGGCTCATGTTACACAGGTTGCTTTTCCTGACAGCAAATGCCACCACCTTCTACCTGCACTATCAAGAATGTCTGAAACAGAGGTAGTTCTGGTCATGCAGTAGGTTATGACTCAAACTCAGTCTGAACAGTTAATAGTTGGGAAGAATGATTAACTTATCCAGCAAACGTCTTCTGTGTCAGGTATCTAGGTTTACAAGTGAAGTCCCAGATATCTACAGAAGCAGCAATGAAGGTGCTGGACTTTTATACTCAAAACTCTAACAAACATCAAAATATTTGTGTAATATTAGTAGTCTTAGAGTTACAGTTATGTGCATCAGAGTACAGTGAAGCTGTAGAAGTTCTAAAATACATAAAACCYTGGTTCTCTATATTGAGTTTAGTGTGTAAGAAAAATCTTGAGGGACCATCACTATCAGTAAATGAACTCCATGATGCCCAATCAGCCCACAAAAACAGAGCTTCCTTGGAGAGCTGCTAGGGATGTGGCAAATGTTCAGATCAAGTCAAATGTTCACCTTTCTGTTGTGATTGCTAACAACAGAATTAGCATTTCCATAACTACTATTTGCACAGTGCCGTGCTTGTTTAATCAGCCCTCACAACAGCCCTGTGAGGTAGGCAAGTGAGCTGTAAAATGACGATAGTGATGCTTACCCTCGCTTAAGACCAGAGGATCAGGTACATGGGCAGGACAGTTCTCATTTCCATCCCACTGATAGGGACGTACAGAAAATGACTTCTCTGAGGCCAGAAGGGGAGAGAAGATTTTTATGAATTTTGCTCACTAGGGCTTCAGTTCTTGCTTTTTTTCAACAGCATCCAAAGAATTTAATACTTTACATTTAATTTCAYTTGAATTCTGAATCTACTCAAGGCATGACTCATCTGGAAATGTACAAATGATGTTAGCTTCCTGGACTTGTATTATGTGCTACTAATCATGCTAAAAGTATTCAACACCCTTCTATTTCCAACTATTAGCTATTTACTTTTACCTATACATACATATAGAGGACTAAACATGCTTTACTGCACCTATTTTACAGGACACAATTTTCATATACAAATGTTGAACTTTTAATTGTTAAAACATTACCACCGTTAACAGAAAGCGAACATGTTTATTTTTCAGTTTGAAACAAGATACTTTATACAAACCTAGTTCTGAATCAAAAGTCTATGCAGAAAATAGTCCACATCTCATTCTTGSTAAGTTTGTCTAAAATGCGAGATTTCACTAGCATTTTTACTTCAACATGAAGCATGATCTCCAAGTTAGAAACAGACTGTATATGAATTCTCATGTTTCAAGTACTGCATCTAGGTGTTCCTCCTGAGGAATGAGTTAGAGATTCCTACAAAGAGTTTTGAGCCTTTGGACTAGCACTCGGTGCCTGTGTGGATTTCAGTGCCTCAGTTTTGCGTTAGCTTGGTTTATGAAGAAGGGACAGTTCCTGTTTATATTTCTGTAATGTCATAAATTCACTGCCTATAGAAATGATGAGTCAATTTGCTACATGATTTCACTTTATAACGAGGGAAGCCTGTTTTGGTAGGGTTATTTCCTTTCAGTCCATTTCTGAAAAGGCAGGAACTACAACTTTATGTGCGTCTCTAACAGGAGCTACTTGCTGAAGAAAGCACTCGCTTTGCCCTCGGTGGCTGTGGGAGAGCTCCTAACAAAGTTCTTTGTTAGCGTTCGTAAGACTGGAGATGAGGTTTAATTGAGGGATTTGTGCTGAATGTTCTTTCGCTTTGAGTCTTAGCGTTGCAATGCTCGACGTTTTCCTTTCAGCCGCTGCTGGATCAGTGAAGGCAGTGAGAGCAGGGTCTGACGGGGGTCCAGGAGCTTTCATTAGCACTGAAGCTGTTGTCATGAGAGGATTTAAAGCGTTCAGAAACCTGTATTTGGAAAAAAAGTCAATATTATCCAAACTAAAATTGTTTTGGAGAACAAGTACTTGTTAATCGAATCACAGGATTTGAAGTAGTAGAAAATAACTTGCTAAAATTTCTAGTTTCTTCTAATTGTACTTTTTTGTTTCCAGGATATATTTTATTTTTGTTTCATAGTACAGTGCTTTGCTCTTAAAAATCACATTCAATTAAAATAAAGGCATGCAGATACCTAGAACAGCAAACATTTCCTTAACTCCTAATGCTACGTTTTACCCGAACAAACCCTGAAATGCTGTAAATCAGTCTGTACTATGAAAACAGTAAACCACCTCATAAAAAGAGCAATCTTTTATATCTGTTTGTGTAGCCAATTTGTCTGACAAGTTGTTCCATGTGAAAAGCAGCATAAGTCAGTGTGGCAGAAAGATCCACCTGTTAATGCAGAACTGCACACAATATAAGGTATCATTTCAGTAGGAAGACAGCACTATCCTAACMTATATAAAACAACCTCTACATGTGCATCCTTGTCTCTCTTTTATGGGGTGCACTAAAACAGCAGCAGCTCTCTGATGAATTTCAGGTTGCTGGGCAAGAAAGCCCAGGAAACAGTTTCAGTTGAAACAAAGTGCTGGCGGTCCAGTATGTGACCACAGCAAACGGGACGGAGGGTTGGGACAGAGCTCTGGGTTGGCTCTGAGCACAGAGAGAGGCAGGCTGCTTGCACTGCTCTTAGCAGCAAGTAGGGACCAGTAAAATTTCTTTTTGGAGCTTTGTCATGCACAGAAAGCCAATCTCCTCGTCTAACCTCCTGGGAAGAAATGTTTAATACCTTCACTCTGGCAAATCACCTAGAATCTAGGTCTGTCTGCAGTCCCATCTTTACTGTGTGCCAACTGCATCAGCCTGCAAAATAAGGATGGAGCTGCAGGCTACAGATTAGATTAGATTACAGCAGTCTATTGTGAAGACCAACAGTGACACCAACGCGTCACAAGTAGGCATAACCATTGTTCAAATAGTAATTACAACATTTTTAATGTTCATCTTAAAGCCAAATTCTACTAGCTATCAGAAACCAGCTCCCTTAAATTTATTTTTACAAGAGCATATTTAATGATAATATATGCAAATATCAAACTAATAGAAATAATATTTCTGAACATTTTTCAGGTTTAGGAAAGAAAGCATTTGATACTACCTTCCAAAATGTGGGCTTAAAATGGGATTTCTGAAGAGAGAAGTCCAGGTAAGACTGCTGAGACCAAAAGTCCCCAAGGTTGAAGGACTAAGGGCTGGAGACATGGATGGCACAGCCAGTGTTGAAAGAGGCATTGACCTCCATGAGTGGTCTAGGAGAGGAGAAGGGCTCAGTGGAACATCCAAAAATAGACCAAGTGGGTGCGTTAAGGAGATTCCTGGAACAGTCCCCAGAATTTCATTTTTTTCACGTTTCCTCCACTTTGCCCTTCTGTTTTGGAACCAGACCTTCAATGAGAAAATATAAAGGCATTAGCTGAACTCACTCTGCAGTTTCTCGTACCATTTGCTGCATGTAGTGATACAGACAGCAAAATAATTGACTGTTAGGCCAAAAAAAAAGAACACCTTAAAGATCCATTCATAAAATCCTTTGTCCATTTATTAGCAAATAATCAAAWGACTGTTACTTATTTACTTTCAGGCATTTAAATAACACCAGTTGTAGAGTGGTTTGGATGGAAACCCTCTACCAACAGGGTGCTGACAACCTAACCCATGAGGCTGGGATGTGTTGTAGCCTTGCTCTTTCGAGTCTCATGTTGTTCCTGCACCTATCAATGACACTTATTCTTTTAAAGTAGTTCCTCTGAGGTTCTTAGGTCCCAGCTGAGGAATCGCTTACTTCAGTCCTATATTGTGTTTGTTCTTGTGCGTTTACACTTGGGAATTGCTGTTCCCCTGGAGTGCCGGGGAGATGACTTGGATTATGTGTTMGGTATATAACAGAGCGGGGTGCACTGTACAGGGGAGATGCTCTTAGAAGAAAAGTCAGAGAGCATCAAAGCTTGGAAGTTGGTACTTGGATTTGTGAGTGCCTGACTGGCTTTTTGGCTACTTATGAGGCAACCACAAACTTKAAAGAATCAAATGTCTTACAAAGGAATATCTAAACCAGCAAAACACCAGACAGCTATGCCTGTGCAAGAGAGAGCCTGCACCTAGTGAGTCTGTATTAATCCATGCGTACGGACTGGTAAGAAAAATGAGCCCAGTTACTGGGAAGCATGCGACTTGAAATGACTCCTAACCATTAATCCTAAATATAAGCAAGTGGAGTCTAGCTGAGATCTCACAAGGGAAGACACTTTAGAGGTGCTCGTGTTCTCCATTAGAATAAATACCAATAGGGATGCTTCTTAGACTGCAGCCAGGTCTTTCCTAAAAGGACAAAACAGGTGCAAAGGTATTCATTTCCTTATAAATCTTAGCATTATTCTTAAGCTTCTTYGTAAAGAAAAATTTTAACATGAAATGTTAATGTGTACTTTTCTGGATTTTTTTTTATGCTGAAGTGAATACATTTGATCAGRCTTGTACTCTGACTGCAAAATAGCTTTATTTAAATAGGGGTTTACAACCAAACTGATTTGGTATTCACTCACAATTTTGTATTTATCRGACAGCATGGAATTGTCTCTGTAAATACCTAAAAATTGTGTTTAGAAAAAAGCACGCTTTCAGTTCATTACTGGTACAAACTTACCAACRCAAGTGATAAAGGGACACAGACATACCTCATACTTTACACTGATGTGACAAGCAGCTTTCCAAATTTTGTGCATATATTATAATCATTAACATTCAGATTAATCACTTTGGAGCTTTTGTTAAGCAGTTTTCTGTTGCTTTCAATGAAAGGCTTAAGATGCCTTTAGTCTATTTTCAGAATCATTTGAAGTACTGAATTAAACATAAGAGATATGACTATATTAATCTTAAGAATTTTCAAAGTGTAGTATCAGTGGGGGGAAAAAGCTTGAAAAGTACATTAAGAGTTCAGGAAAGAAGGCATTTTAAACTCAAGTTTCATTTGTACACTAATTATTATCCAAATTACTTATRTAATTACTAACATTGCACATACTGGACAAAGGGAATTTAAGTCTTTTTAAAGGAAAAATAGCCATCCAAAATTAGATAGCTTTCTTACTGTCTTTTTTTAATAAAAATGTATCCTATCTAATTGTGGTAAGACTTATAAATATGGTTATGACATGTCTCTGATGTAGCCGAATACAGGATCACTATCAGAAAAGAAAAAAAAAACTAGGATTCTATTAGATTAAGTTAATATTTTGCTGCTGATGCAATTTATTGCATTGAATTACTCATGTAATGTTTGACTCTTCACATTAAGAAACTTTCCTTTAATAACCGTTTCTTAATTTTCCTCTAGACCAACAACATGAATTGGGAGAAAGAGAATGGCAACAATAGATGCAAATTCTGACGCTCATGATGGATTTGCATTAYGAAAAGGTTTTGAAGGCTTTTAGACTACCCCTTTCCCAAGGTAAGGAAGGACAAAGATTTCTGCTGCTTTGCTCTGCTAAGTTATCTCCTGTCTACCACAGGACAAGCATGGGGCCAGAGCCATTCCAGGATGCAAGTGCTGACCCAAAGCCAACTGAAGCCTTGTGGSAAGAGCTCACAAAGAATATTGGAGGAGAAAGGCACAGCACTCCAAGATTCCTCATGTCCACTGGGGACACACAAGCTCTGGTATTTTTGACATTAATTCCTTATCACCTACATCAAGCCTGAACTTTTCTGTCTCTTCCAGATAAGTCATTAGAAGTCACTACTGAGGGCARGGAGAGGATAGAGCACGTAAGTTCTTTCAAGTCCATAAAACAGGTGCAAGTGCATCCAGCTATGGTCAGATGAGTAAATTAGGGAGCACGGAAAGGAAGGTTCGTACTTACAAGGGCCTTGTCTGAAGATGACGCGTGTTAAAATAGAAATCGYGAGCCTTAGACTGCATCATGGATCCAGTGATTGAGATAATGACAATTTGTACAGCAGGGCTCTGGCACTAACAGTAACAAAACTGTGCAGGAGTGAAGAGGACTGACATGCTGAGCAGCTGCACTCGGCTCTTCAGCTTCCGTGAGCCTACAAATGCCCAGGGTTGTGCTGGAAGAGTCGTTCAGTCAACATCTGACATCCAGTGCAAGCCAAGTTTTAAAAATGTTGATGTCAAGCAGCAAAACTTCCAAAGTCTTCATCCCCTACTTTGAAGCTACTTTATATATAATATATAAAACATATATATAAGTTAAAAAAGCTAATGTTTTCTGTAGAAAGGAACTTTTATCTTATGTAAGAGAATAACAGACTACTTTAAGAGGTTAACTATGAATGTGAAGAGTCCAAAAAAGCTACAAAGCTTATTCCTAATTTAATTCTGCTCTTAGAACTGYGGGCTGTTAGATGAATTAATTGTGTCTCGATCCGTATGCTTCATGTTCTGTAGRAGCTGCCATTATTACAGCTCATAATTCCCATGGGCAATTTCTAACTGTCATCTGAGCGTCAAATTATTTCATTCACTTTAYTCATTTGGAAGTTTAGCTGATTTTTTTTTTCAGTTAAGTTAGAGGAGAGCAGTGTAAACTGCTCTGAACTGTGTAAATTCTTCAATTTTAGGTGCCTCACAGAACTGCTCACTTGCTCRTACCATGTTGCAAAAAGCTCTATTTTTGTTTTTCTCTAAACCTAGGAGACGGCACCTGCCTTTACCCYGTGGAGGCGGCAGCAGCAGCCGGGCACCCGGACTCTGCTCGGGGAACCTTCCCGAGAAGCTGCTGCTCCTGCCTCCAGGTAACCTGCCCCTTGCTGCTGCCTTTAAAACTAAGCGGACTAACTAAACCCACCCCGCTCCGCACTCGCCACGTGCCCCGTGTTGGTGTGCGGCGGGTCCCTCTGGCCGTTAACGGTCGCGCCCAACGGTCGCGGCGGCGCCCAACGGTCGCGCCCAGGCCCGCGGCCCCTCGCTCACCTGCACGCGGGCTTCCGTGAGGTCCAGGCGCACGGCGAGCTCCTCCCTGCGGGGCAGCGCACACSGTTAGCCGCGGGGCAGCGGGCGCGGCGCCCGGCGCGGGGCAGCGCGCGGCGCCTCGGCGCGGCCCTGCCCGGCGGAAGGACGCCCCCTCCCGCCGGCGGGCGCGCCGCTACCTGGTGAACACGTCGGGGTAGTGGCACTTGCGGAAGGCGCGCTCCAGCTCCTCCAGCTGGAAGGTGCTGAAYGTGGTGCGGTAGCGCCGCTGCTTCCTCTTGAGCGGCACCGCCGCCTCGCCGCCCCTCGCCGCCGCCGGCTCCCGGGCGGGCGCGCGCGCTCGGCCGGGCCGCGGCGCCGCCGCGCGCTCCTCGCCTGAGGGGAGAGAAGCGGCCGGTTACCGCGGAGCGGCCGCGGCGCCTCCCCCTGCCCGCGCCCCGGCGCCCCTCACCGTGCCGCGCCGTGGCGCCCAGGATGCTGTCGATGAAGTAGGAGGTGAGCAGGTGCAGCGCCGGCGGGGCGGCAGGCGCCGAGCCCTGCATGGCGGCGGGCGCGGGGCGCCGCGCCGCTCCGCGTTTTATGGCCGCGGGCAGCGGCCGGCTCGGCGCCCCGGCGACATTAGCATTTCATTAGCGCGCTGGCGTCAAGCGGGGGTGGGACGCGCCGAGCCCCGCTCCCGCGTGGGGGCCGGGCCGGGGCCGCCGCGGCCTCCCCCCCGGGCGCGGGAGGGGAGGCTGGGCCGGCCGCCGGGACGGGGCCCGTCTCCTGGAAGCCCTCGGTGCTCCCCGGGCTGCGCGGGTCCCCGGCCGCTGCTCGGACGGCAGCGCTTGCCCCGCAGCGGTCCTGGAAGCGCTTCCCTGCACGCAGGCAGCTCCATGGCCCTGCTGGGCTGCAGGGCCAGCACCTGCCCAAAGTTAGGTGACAAGGTGACCCAGCCCTGCCGTCTAGGTCTTGGTAGCAGTTTCTGGAGAATCTTACAGACAGTGCAACAGAGAGGGGCTTAAAGGCAATAAAATCCCATAGAGTGGCTGAAAACTGAAGCTGGACAAATTTAGTTTTGAAATGAGACATATTTTAAAACTTTGTGTTTAAAGCTGAGCTTTGCAACAGTGTAGATGATGAAAAGCTTGGTTCTCTCTCCCTGGATGTCCTGCAGAGGTGCAGGTAAACAGCTCGCAGGTGGCAGTGTCCTGTTTCTGGTGTCCAGGCTGGTTTGCTCCTGGTGAGTGTGGCTCTTGCTTCCCCAGAACGGGTCATATAATCGTGCTAGGTGCTGAGGGGAGCGCAGGAAGGGAGAAGCCACCTTAACTGAACTGCTGCATGGCTGTAGTTGTCAGCTGGAGTCACCACGGAAAAGGGGAGGTCAGAAGTTATCTTTAGTGTCGGGATCTGTAAGGAAAACACAAGTCCCTTTGTAGCCTGCTGGTGGGACAGGGCTTGGCCACGTGCACTTTCTAAATTCAGGCTGGCCAGGGGACTGCAGTACTGTTTGACACGGTTTCTTTTGGCTCCTGGAAGCAGAATTTGACCCATCTAGTTTCTTACAGCCCTAGGGATCTTCACAAACTTATTGTTGCTTGTTGGACTCCCTGAGAGGTCCCCTCTTCTCAAATCATAGTCACACACAAATCTTTGCCCAAAGAGAAGCCCCTGCATCTTAGAGAGCAGGAATGGGGGAAGTCTAACGAGATCTCCTGGAGCCCAAAGCAATTAAATTGTGTTACTTCTGTATTCTAGACCAACTGAATCCCTGAACATCTGAGCAGCGAATAAAGAATCATTCTCTTCTCTCTCTATATTCAGAACTGAGCATCTGATGCAGGCTGATTTTCTAAAGAAGTATTTTCCTGCGTTGCCATCAGCAATGTTTATCAGGAAGTTGTTTTTCTTCCTGCAGGTGTATTTTACTGGAGCACTGACATTTTCTCTTTTAAAACTGAGATAAAAATATACTTTTATCAAAGAATATTTGGATGAGAAGGTCAATCCTATTTTAAGTTTTGTTGATCACTCTGAGATGCTGCATTCTATTAGTTGACAGTTACCTACTTTCTCTTCCTGTTTTATGATCCTGAATCATATTTCTCCCCTGAAACTTCTCAAAGATGAATATTATAGACATTTCTAGATACAGAATATACAGATATTCCTTTTCTGTTGTCATCTGGGCTTCTTAGATGTCCTTCATCAAGTCACATTTTTCTGCTGGCTAGAATTCTGACTTAGTATTTCCCAATTGTGTAGTGTCCTGTTGTGAGCCAAGGACCTCTTTTGGTAGTTACCCTCTAATGCCATGGAAAAATGAGCTGTGCCCCAAAAAAGCACAGCTTTTTTGAGCACAGCTGAATGAAATGTTCATCGTTTCATGTTTAACCAACCTTGCTACTGCTTTCTTGATTTTCTTTGGCTTCCATTCAGATTAAAATGTGACTTATGAATCACAAAGCTTATCTTTTCCACAAAAATATCTTCAGGATGCGAAGAAGCCTGGGTGTATGTTCAGGATGACAGTAGAATTGCAACTATATGAGTGGGGACTGTGTTGGTAGTGGTGCTTTAAATGTTTTTTTTGTATGTTTTAAAGACATGTTGATTGTACATTTTAAATATATATGTTAATTAAGATTAATATTTAAGTATAAAAAGAGTCCTTAATCACATAACAAGAAAATTTTGAGATAAATTAAGTGACAAGGTTAATAGGAAAAAATATTGAAGAATGTCCAAGGAGGTAGTTTGCCAGCCTGAAATGGATCTTTATTGGTTTGCAGAAGTGATGTCTGCTTGCTAGAGGCTTGAACGCCCAACTGGCGTAAAGCAGGAGCGGCCCTGATGAGAGCTCTGAGTCAGCTTTGGCTGATCTTCTCTGAGCCAGATCTTCCAAGGTGCTGAGCATCTTTAGTGCCCATTGGCCTCTCCAGATATTCAAATTAGCAGAATTGGCATTCACTATACTTCTCTTTTATACAGTTTTCTGAAGAGCTAGGTGATCTTGAAGATCAGTACCTCTCTTTTTATGGGTTAGGATTTAGGATGATCTTAATCTTGTATGTATGGCAGTCCTACAAATACTGGGGACTTGCAAGGATGAACATTGTGGAACAGGTTCTTAGTTGACAAGGCAGATTTTCTGAAGCAAGTGGATGTTAATTATACCAGCTGTGCCTGAGTGCAGTAACTCTTCTGTAATAAGATCACAGTATGCTGGTTTCCCATCTCAGTTAATAACTTCTGAAAATAATGCAACTGCCTTTTGCTGATTAGGCACACCTGACTGCATGGAAAAAAAAATGTGTGCGCAGTGGATGACAAATCTGCTTCCTTTCTATGCTGCATATTCAAGAGCACAAAGTATTGGTTGCAAAATAAATGAGATAAAAACACATTGTAGTGAACTCTGGGGAAGCCATCGTGTTCGGCTGGGGGACAGTGCTGACACTGGGCTCTTTCTCACCAGCTGGCCTGCAGTTAATGCCCTTTGGTTGTGTCCACAGCCAAATCTATCTGCAATCTGATTTCCAGATTTGTTCTCCTCTCTCTCTGTGGGCCTTTTATATGAGGCAGGGAAATAAAGAGACTGTCTCAGTCTTCCCTTTGTGCATTTGATTCTTAAAGGGTTTGTTCATATGGGACAGACAACTATAAAAGCTTCCAGTTGGAACTGCATGATAAAATATTTTGAGAAACCTTGAATAACCAAAACAGGTTGCATGGGTCTTCTGTTAGAGCTGTGGTAACAGACTGTTTCTCAAACCCTCTAGGTAAAAAGTGAAGAACTCTTTGCTGCATGGGTAGTTTTGCAGTGGTACTGCAAATCTGCTCTGCTAAAGCCACCCCTTCTGGAGTCACAGGATTATAAGCTAAAAATATATGTTTTAACTTCTAAAATTTCTGAGCTTCGCCTTTTATAGAAGAGCTTAAAACCCTGATAGAGCCTAGAAGATTCCAAGGATAAATCCAAACAATTCTCTATCCATTTAGTCTCTTAGCTTTCTAAGAGAGTATTGGGTAACTGATAGCTGTGATGGGGGACTGATACCCCTCAGGGGAGAGGAAGAGGGACTCTTAACCAGAGACACAGACTGGCCTGTTAATCTACTAGGTTGCACATTGCTAAAGAGAAAATCATTCTCTTTTTCTAAATGACTTTGTATAGGGGCTACCTGGCCAGAATACTGGACTAGACTCAAGGCTTTCTTATTCCTGGTTCTGCTGCTAGCCTGCTGGGACAAATTGCAGCATCTCTGTGCCCCATTTACTCATCTAGAAAATGGCAATAGTGCTCCTTTCTTTGCCAAGTATTGGGCTCTACTGATAAAATGATCTCTCAGAAAGATGAGTATGGTTAAAATACTGCACATCTGCAGATTACTCATTTATGATTGCAAATTGAGTGCTAAAAAATCTGTATCTGTTTCTGTTTTGATGATTATTTTTTTCATATGTGAATTAAGTATAGCAACCACTTCAGAAATGTGTCTCTTACCAGACATTGATTTTCAACACTGTCTGAAGTCCTCCGTGATTTTTATGTGGCTTTGTAGGTCCTCTGTTCTTCCTCAGCACCACAGGTACTATGATTAGTTCCGCTCTCTTGAAAGTCTTTATAGACAAGGATCAAAAATGCTGAACTTCAGGGAGCATGAACTGTCTAGAAATGTTCCAGGGAGTCTCTGGCAGAAACTCCATGCTAACCTCTCTCACTCTCCCGTAAGTGGAGGAACGGCTTGCTTCTCCACCTTGTTTCTTTGTAAAGCTTTTTTGCTGCTGCCATCGATTTACATGGGAACCTAAGGCCTTAAGACGTGAAGTGGTACCGGAGAGGCTGTGGGCTGGTCTGTGCATATAAATTGCTCACTCCTGTTCTGCCCTATTGACTGTACTACCAAACTGATACTTGATGGATGCCCACTAAAACATTGTGGAAAAAAATATGTGATGGTTGTAACTCTGGAGATACCTAGTTTTGTGTGCATGTTTTCTCTTGATAAAATTATAACTGAAACAACTGATAGTGGTAGTGAGTTCTTAATAAATATTTGTGTGCTTACAGCCATTGAGTAACAGCTGAGAAGTTTACTGCGAAAGAGATCCAGCAGAAGCAGTTGTGGATTGCATCTCCATCCTGTTCCTCTCCAAGTGCTGCAGTGCGAAGGCCTGACACCCACTGCCTTGGGTAATACTGTTATTTGGGGACTTCCTCTGCTGGAGTCATTGGGACATTGAGGGTGTCTGTGTTCGATGCTCCTGATTCTGTGCCTTTCCAACCGAAGCCCTTGTACTCCTGAGTCACAGCTGTGTGAATGTGACGGGAATCAGGCCTGGGCTGTATTCATTTGTGTTCACAGCCTGGGCTTTGTCACTCTGAACAACGGTGTATTTGGTAACAGTGAGCACCTGTGTAGAGTTTGCCCCTGTGAGGGCTCGTGACAGATGCTATTAATATCACAGGGAAATAAATGTGTGCTGCAGCCCAGCTGACCTCTCAGGACTCCACAGGTCTGCTAGAAGGCTAAGAAAATTTATTTGCAGTCTGTGATTT